TCTTTCTTTCTTTCTTTCTTTCTTTCTTTCTTTCTTTCTTTCTTTCTGTCTTTCTTTCTGTCTTTCGTTCTTTCTCTTTCTTTCTCTTTCTTTCTTCCTTTCTTTCTTTCTTCCCCCCTCTCTCTTTCCCTCCCTCCCTCTCTTCTTTCCTTCCTTCCTTCCCTCTCTCCCTCCCCTCCTCTCTCCTTTCTTCTTTTTCTCTGGGCTGGACATATAATAAGCTTAGCCCACTCCAGTTTAGAACTCCTGAGCTCAAGCAATTCACCAGTCTCAGCCTCCCCCTGTGTAGGGCTTGCAGGTGAGAACTAACACACCTTTCTGGTGATCTGAGATAATGAATTCAATTTAATTCAACAAGCATCTTATTTAGTGCCTGCACATCTGAGCACCAGGAATAGAAGGAGAAAACAAGAGTTGGTCCCTGCCATTGAGGAGCTGAAGTTATTCTGGAAAGCTTAGGTAACTCAGCTTGGTGGGGAAAGACTAGGTGAGGAAATCTGAAAAGGTGATTTCAGAGGAAGGCCAATGGATAAATAAATTGACTAGATGGAGCAGCATGATTAAAGTACAAATTTATTGTCATTATTCCTTACTTGGGCCAACCAGTTGAATTTAAGAAAACAAACAGCTCAAGCCACGCTAAGGCGATCGTGAATTTCGCTTTAAATGTGGTGTTAAACCATTTTGGACCTGAGTCTCTACAGAAAACAATCTGGATGGGAATTCAAAATGGTTGTTTGTGATAATATTTTATCATCAGTTTCTACTTATAATTGTAATTATTATTATTAACACTTCTCTTTGTTATTTTTTTTTAAGGCAATTGGCGTTAAGTGACTTGCCCAGGGTCACACAGCTAGTAAGTGCCAAGTGTTTGGTCTGAGGCCGCATATGAACTCACATCCTCCTGACTTCAGGGCCAGCTGTATCCACTGTGCCATGTAGCTGCCCCTCTTTGTTATTGTCAATGATAATAATAGCATCTTTATAGAGTGTACTAGGATTACAAAGAACTTTATATACTGATTTTGTTTGATTATCTCCATTCTGAGAGGTAGGTAGTAGAAGTAATCCCTGCATTTTATATATGAGGAAGCTAAGGCTCAAATAAGTTAAGTGACTTGCACAAGGCACCATGGATACTAAATGGGAGAGTTATGGTATTTTGATTCCAACTCCGAGGCTCTTTCCATAATACTGTATTTCTACTTTGAAATAGACTTTATAGGACCACAGATGGAGACCTTCAAATGGGAATCATAGGATTTAAAGTTAAAGGGGACCCTATAGGTCCTATATTCCAACCCCCTCATTTTAAGGATGAGGAATCAGGCCAGAAAAGTTAAGTGATTGGCCCAAGGTAGTGACTGAGCTAGGATTCAAACTTAGATCCTTGGAACCCAGGCCTCTTTTCCACCTTACTCTGCTTATCCATAAATACAAACAGTGGTATATGGCATTATAAACATTTTAATGTCAGTCTCTAATTCACCCTCTCTCTCCTGGGAGAAGTCAGGATATGGAGACTTGGTATGGCAACCTGGTGCATGAACATGAGCATGATTGGAAAGATGGCTTACTCAGCAAAAAGGCTCTGTATTGCAAAAGTTTCTGCACTACAAATAAACACAAGTGTGATTTGTCAGCACTTGTGAAGGGAGGTGAGGGGACAAAGTTACAGCCAGGATAAAAAGAAAACAAATGGCCTTCCTTACATGTCTGAGCTAAGTTCTGTGTCTCCTCCAGGGCCTAGGACAGTGCTCTGCACACAGCAAGTGCTTAATAAATAGTATTTCACTGTTGTTTTTTCACTCAGGTGTTCCAAATTTCCTTCTGCCCTTTCTCCTAGCAGTTAAAGTTACCAAAATAATTTCTGGTCAACTAGTAAAATAAATTCACCAAATGGTGACCTCCTCCATCTTTGGAAGGTTTAGTTAATAGAGGTAACATATGCAAAGGCAGCATCTTGCGGAACCCTTAAAGGTTTATGAAAATGTCCCATGAATCTTCCTTCTGGAATTAGCAAAAACTGTACGACCAATTGGGGGTTAAGATTGCATCCCCCTGCTTTGATTTCTACTCTATTGGAACTCTATCAGATTCCTCACCCATCTCCCCATTCCTCCCTCTAATCCTCCCCTTCCATGCCCCCAGCCCCACACCCCTAACCTTGCAGGACACATTGAGGGATAGCTACTCCTTGCAGTGCATTGAAGAGAGGGCTGAATGCATGATCAGAGGACCTGGGTTTTAATCCCACCTCTAATATTATCTTGTAATTTTGGACCAGCTATTTCCCCTTCTGGCTACATCAACCTCTCAGGGTCTCAGTTTTCTCACCTGTAAAATGGGACAATTAGACTTGACAATTTCATTCCAGCTTTAAATCTCATCCTCTAGTCTAAATCCTCATCCCTGTGAGAGATCTTAGGTCATTGACCTAGTGCCAAAAGGTTCCTGAAAGGTCATCTAGTCCAGAGATACTAAACATGTGGGTCACTGTGCATCATGAACTAGATTAAAATGTAACTAGGAAATAGATACAGAATGAATAAAAATACAGTAAAACATATACTATTATTACTAGCTTTCTAAGTTAATATGTGTCCCACAGGGATCATTATATGTGACTTAGTTGTCCCTGTTTCTAAATGAGTTGGACACCACTAATCTAGTTGAATCCCCTCATTTTGCAGATGAGGAAACTGAGAAGTGACTGGCTTAAGGTCATATAGGCAGTACATGGTATAGCTATAATATGAACCCAGGACTTTTTAACACAACAACAACAGTAATGATAACAACAACAAAAACTAGAATGTATATATGGCACTTTGAGGTCTGCAAAGTGTTTAAAAAATATTATCTCATTTTATCTTCACAATAATCCTAGAAGGTAGATACTATTATTGTTCCCATTTTATAGATGAGACAAATGAGGCCAATAGAGGTGAAATGACTTGCCCAGGACAGCTAGTATGTGTCTGAGGCTGAATTTGAACAGAGGTCTTCTTGATGCCAGGCTGGTCACTCTGTGCACACTAGTGCTCTTTCTCTAGGAAGATCCAGAGTTGAAGGGACCTTAAAGGCCATCTTTCTAGTCCAATACCACTCCTCCCCACCCAGTCTTACAGATAAAGAAATGATGGTCCAATACGGTTAATTAACTTGGCCAAGGTTACATAGAAGATACATGTCAGAGATAGGATTTGGACACAGATCCTCTGATTCCAGAACTTGGGTTCTTTCTACTATAGCATGACACCTCCTTGAGATTGAGATTAAATATGATTCACTTTAAAAAGAATGTGTAGAGCCTCTATTTGCCAAACACTGTGCTAGGTGCTAGGGATACTAGGATGAAAAAAACTGAAACAACCCCTGCCCCTGAAGAGCTTACAGTCTCCTGAGAGATGGGGATATAGGAAGCTCCAGTGGGGAGACAAAAACTGGGGGGAAGGGGAAGGCGGAGGATTGATTTCCTTGTAAAGCATGGCTCCATCCGTTAAGGATGTGGTTGGGAGGTAGAGAGTAGGGGCTGGGGTCAGGGGATGAGGCAGAGAAGCCAGGGAGGGCATCTCACATCCAGCAGGCAAGGTTCATTTCATCTTGCATGTCTTGAACACAACCCAGATGGGTGTTACCATTCTGCATTTATTAATGTTAGTGGTGAAGAGAGGAGAAAGCTTCAGAAGGACAATATCATAAAAAATGTGAGCCTCGAGGGGCTGAGAGGGCTCAAGTGTGAAAGCCCTGCACCCAGGGGACTGAGGAGAGAAAGGCAGAATGAATACTGATTACTGTTGACACTGGAAGAGGTGTTCATTGGGCAGCCTGAATGTCACAGCAGAATCATCCTATGGAAAAAAAAAAGAAGGAAAAGAAAGAAAAAACTCCCAAAGCCTCATCCCTCCCATGATTCCTGTTTCCATTTCAATTGATTTTTAATGTAGCACAATCCTATCTAAATGCTAATTTTTCCTTTGAGTTTGGAAGGGACAAAACCGCCAAAAATTCTAAAAGAGATTAAATGGAAAATATTATTATTAAAAACAAGAGGGTGGGCATGGCCTTGGCCAGCTCCTCTGGGGAATTGCATTTTGACAGGGGCATTTGTTTTGGGTGCAGGATTATTATACAAATCAGACAGCAAACAGAAGGGAAGAGTGTGAAGTTTCACTCTTTTACATTTGCTATTATTGCTAGGCAGAATACCCTGATCAGATCTCATTAGGCTGGCCGGGCTCTCTGTCTCCTGCCATCTATCACATACTGAAGTGAGAGGCATTAACCCCAGCCAGCCCGGCTCCTTTTCTCCCTGCCCTTCAGGAATGCGCTCTGAGTTGAGTTTTAGAATCCTCGTGGATCCAAATCTTGCTACCTAATGGAGGAAAGAAGATCAAACCACAGTGATAAACAAAATGCATGTGTGTGTACATACATACACATGATCACAAACACATTTCTATCAGACACATGTATATGATCATGGATACACATGCATGCAACCTTTGTGTCTTGTGCAACATAGAATGTATTGCATGTATACCCATATGCACATATACATGCATGCATTATGTACACATGTTTTTCTCTATATTTATGTGTGTATTTGT